GATTATCTATAGGGGGCCTCCTCAGTACGTTTTACAGTCAGACAGTCAGAGGGAGCGACCAGTATGAAAGTTGTTGATTGATCGATTGAACTCTTTTCATCTATGGATTGACTAACCTCCGAGCACACTATTCGATTCAATTTGCCGTCGAGGAAGTTAAACAGCGTTTCTATGAAGAACGTCAGAAGATGGAAGGGGGAAATTCTATTAATAAATTGGCGGGCTACAGAACTCAATACCTATACCCATAATACCATTTAAATAGCAACTNTCAAGTTCACTTTCCTCTGTTACAGAGATGTATGTCACTTTACGGAATACGAAGAAGATCTGTGTTCCCTCAAATGAGTTCCCATGTCACGTATGGCGGACGTATAGGTAACCAGTCTGGTAGTGAAATGTAAATGATGTATCCCAAACAAATAGTCACGAACAGTGACTAACATTACCTGCGAACATGATCAATCAGTGAATCAGCCCACACAGATGCTGGGGTCATCACCCGGAAGAGTCAGTTGATCCTCGGAGGATCAAATGAACAATATGATTTTGATGCGATTGACATGCAATCCCATGGTTCAGTGATTGATACTCCCCCCCCCCCTACTAACCCACCCAAATGAGATTTTTGGTCTTTTGGTGAAAAATCTCGATCCGGTAGATGGTTCATCTAAAGCTACGAAATCCTGCCAACTGAATGAACAGGTACTAATTTTAAAAGTGAATGGTTCTGACAAATTCACACAGTGTCGCAGCACAAAATCCGAGTCGGAATTCCGAATAGTGGATGAATTTCCACACAGTGTTCATTTGTTCGATTGTGTTGAATTTAGTATGTCCAGTTTCAGCCCAAAGCTTTTCCAAGCAGTTGACAAACACATCATTTTCGGTCATCTTTTATTCGAGTCAAAAAAGGTTTCGTTCGCCTGTAAAAGAGAATACAAAATCCAATCTGTGTCACAGCGTTATGGTAATATATCATTCGGGTCCCTGTCATAGCACATGATTACACATAGACAAGGACAAAAAACTGATAAATCGATCGATCGATCGATCGGTCGGTCGGTCGGTCGGTCGATCGAGACCAATCCGTTTTGTCTAGTTCTTTCGACTGTTCAAATTCAGAAGAAGAAAAAATGATTTGATTTATGACCGTAAACTTTTACTTCGACAAGGATAAATGGCATCAATGTTCTGCATAAAAAATGTACGATACTTGAATCAAATTATTCCAACCCTTAGTCGAATATCAACAGAAAGGGAAACACACATTCTCATCATTAAAATATAAAATTTTCTGACGGTGAAAGCTCTATTCATCGGAGAAATTGAAACCGATTGAGGATTACATCGAAAGACGTTTTTGCTGTTGTCGTGAAATATTTCGATCTCGAGTAATAGTATGGTTTGCTCCAAAACCTCTGCATCGAATGAATTAAGCCGCTTGGTATTGTTTCTAGAAATTCACAAGTGATTGTCCCGTGATTAAAACTTTCATTCTTCATCCAACAGTACATTCAAAATGGTAGATAAATGGTGCATGGACTCACTTGCCGAAACTTACTAGATTGCTTCATGGAAAGAATTTTTCGTGAGTGAGAACATTCATCCATCATGTATCGTACGTTTTCCGTTAGGTAATTTGCACCACGTCCATTCCCCCTCCCTTGAACGTGGATCCTGAGAATGCGATTTTATAGTTACTCCTGCCTCAACTGAGACGTTGGATACCTGGTCCATGGGTAGGGTTTGCAATTGTAAAGCGCAGAAAAGGAAACTTCAAGATATCACAGAAAGTAACAGAAGATTTTTGAGCGAATATTGAACGCCTAGGAAACCATACATCATCTTTTCACTGACCCTGTTTTATTCTCCGTAGCAACAGACGTGTCATGAAACTCCGGTACTATTTTAATAGGAACCTAGAAACCTTCAGTAAGGGAGCCAGGTGTTCTCAAAACCTTTTCGGTCGATGGCTCAAATTTTCTTCGTTGGTGGATTAAAATTTATTGATTGAAATGAGCTAAGCATTTCTCAGTTAAAACAAATGAGTTTGTTTGTCTATCCTTATTTCAGGCCTATCGTTTTTAAATGGCGCGCAACAATGTTTTTATTAGGCTAACCAGACAGTGCTTTTTTTCTTCTAAAGCAGCTGGAATAAGTTACATAGCGATCCCGGTTCCCCGAAGCCGAACCAGTTTGCTGAAAAGTGTGTAACTGATGAAATCCGATCCTCGACATGTGTATATACATATATATATGCAATTGGCATATCCGCCTGTCTGCAAGCACATCCGAAATGCATACATGCAACTCTGTCCACTTTCTGTTCAGGCATGCCCTTCCCACGCCTCAAACCAGACTGTGCCGACTGCCTACTCAATGCTTTTCATCGATGTACTCGTTCTGGCGTGGTGTTCTCCTCAGTGACGTGTGTGTACTCTAAGTAAAGGTTTGAAATCTCCTCGTAACTCGATACTGTCATTTGATTATGAGTCTGATAAAAAGTTCTACGTTTTAGTTTGCGTGTGTGCGTGTGTGTGTGTCAGTCGGATGAAGTCGTTTCATTCTGCTAATGTGCAGCACTCCCAATCCGTGTTACGAGTCATTTGTTCCGAAACGCACGCACACACACACACACCACTCACGCACCCAGCTGTGTTCCAGACATGTCGTATACCACACCATTCAAACCGATTCACTGCCCATTTCGATAAGTCACAGGGCAAGAAAATAACCCCAACCTCCTCATCCTTGATGACCCCACTCAAAAGGCACACATCTATTGTGTTGCGGACAGTTCCTAATTATTTCAATTGTTGTCTGACCGATGTGAAGTTTGTACGTCGATTGTGAAAAGTTCAGTAGCCTCGGTGGGATTCAAACTTACGCATGTACGCCGTCTACGCTTTTGTACGGTGCAGACTCTACCAACTGAACTACGAGGCCACACCGACAGAACAGTGATCTTTTCACACTCGAATTACCCATCTGACTTACAGAGGCATATGGTATCCACCAGTTGGCCTGTATACTGACTGCCCTGACATACAAACTTCAAATCTGACAAACAACAATTTGAACAACTAACCTTGCCTTAGAAGCTTATTCAGTGGACTCCGATAAAATTCTAAAGAAAACCGGTCGGGGCAGTCAGCACACATGCTAATCGGTGGATGTCATATGCCTCTGGAAGTTGGGCGGATAATTCGATTGTGAAACGTTCCTAATTAAACCGCTTGTGAACAACGCGCCACCTCACCAGTTCTCTGTTATCGAACCGAGAAGAATCGGATAAAAATTAGGTCTCAATCGGTCGTTCAAAATGCACACTAGTGACAACCTATTCAACCTATTTTCATCTACATTCGCACAAGTACTGCACTCTGACTACTCTAACAAATATAAAACAACACTCAACGGAAACCGTTGTTTGAATTTGATGAAATTTCCCTCCAAGAAAACTTGCCATGGTGTTGATCCATTTCAAAGCATTCAAATAACTTTTGCAAGGAGACTAGGCAATGAGTAGTATTCCGTTGTGGCTTTGTGAATACACCGTTTCCGATCCGAGGCAGATGATGTAGTCACACATGTCAGCACAAGGTTGCCGGGATGTACTACTACTACCACTACTACTACTAATCATCCAAGTCCGATTGTATGTTTTAGGTTTTTTGTCATCAAATTATTTGAGAAACACAATCTTAAACGACACGGAACATAATCGAACCCGACATCTGTTAGCCGGAATTAGGATCACTGACTTTTGAACAGGTTAATTTCAACATGAAAACCAACGATGGTCGGCACAAAGCTAAACATGCATTGATCAATCTGACAAGTGGCGATTATAAAGGACAACAGTAGATC